CTATTTTAAAAAGATCGGTTAAGAACCGCGGATGTGCCTCCACAATCAATTTTGGATAAAGTACGCATATTATTCGCGTATCGATGAATTTTTGACCTATTTCCACACAGATTCGCGAATTTGACAATACAAGCATAAATGCATGTAAAATTAATTCGAAGAAAACCGCGATTATTTACGCGAATTTGTCAAAATAAGTTTTTGCAGTTTTTCCCACATTCAAGGTACCTGTATCCGCCGTTTTATTGGGCGGAATTGAACATGAATGGGCTCATTAGATCCGGCACGTAAAAAAACCAAAATCACGCGGGGTTCCACGGAATTTGAATGGAGTTTGTTAATTTTAGACTCAAAAAATATGTTTTTTATAAAAATTTACGCACCAAATTTTCGTCTTTGGAACCCAATTGCAAATAAGCTACAGTGAGCACATTCATGAGATATACACTAAACGAAGCAGAATCACGAGTTCTACAATCCTATAATTAGTTTATTCTATTATCTGGATGCGCATCGTAATTATAAGAAAAATTAAAAAAACACGGAAAATCCGGCTTCAAAATGTCAGCATCCATTTTGGGTGGATGCAGTGATTACATCGAAAAATCATACATTAGAACCATATTGTCCATGGGGTATTCTGCAACTTAGTCACTGATCACATGTGCGTGCGTTGTGTAGTTTAGCCACAAATCAGGAAGGAACACAAAAAAACTCGTTGGCTTCAACACATTTTCACCCATTTTTTTACATTACCACCATCACAGCTTCCACGCAACTTATTATTTATTACCAATATTTTAAGATTTTGACAAGAACACTTCATTTTATAGAATTGAATTTTAATTATATGCAATATGTTCATATTTCGCGAGTTATAACCTTGCAAACCCCAGCTTCAAGGAATTTAAAAGATTTTTGTAATTTCCCATATATGTTTGGGGGGTACTTAACATTGTTTTTACTTATTTCGACATGTCAAGCTAATAGTTGGAACACTGTACTAATCTAAACATTCCGACATTTTGTTTCCTGATAAACTAGAACAAAATTCAAAACATTAAACTCACTTGCCTCCATTCTTCTTATCTTTTTAAACAAATGTTGTTATTAGAAATTTTAATTAGCTTTTTTCAAAACGTTTGGGATTGCAAATTGTTTGCAGATCCCACTTGGAAACTGTGTAGAAACTCAAATGCATTTAGTTGCTTATGTTTGCTTATTTTGTATGCTCTCAATTGGCCTACAATGTGTTGCAGCAAAGTGATCTCAACGTTTAAAAAATATATTTATTTATTTGTTTATTAGTACTTTTTTTTCAACATGCAGGCAGACATTTCACATTTGTGTCTTTAAGTGTTGCCTATGTGCGTTATTTGTATGTAAATATGTGTATGTGCATATGAACAAATGATAAGACGAACTTTTAAAAAACAAATCAAGAAGAGACCTTATGATAAGGAATATTCAATCACAGACGGTTTATTTATTTTTATTACCCCCCCCTCCCCCCACTTTATTTATTTTCCCCCCAAAACCAATCACACAATAAAACTGCCACTTATCATAATGCAAAGGGGCACATACTTGGGAACGTTATATGATGTGACTGATAGTGATCGATGGGGAATTCCTTTTACAGGTCGTAATTTTATATAGATTTTAATTGAGATTGGGGGTTTTCATTAGAAAATCAGCTGATCTAAATGGCTAAATGTTCGATTCCTCTAATTCATTCCCATAATAATCTAAGTGGTAGTTTTACCAATCAAAATTGTTCATTACTCCTAGGGGAGTTGCCAATCTCCCACTAGACGCATCTCGTCGTGTGACGGATGGGAAGGGCATCTTCGGATCCCCCGTGGATCAAAATGGATCGGGGTAGTTCCCTTAAATAATGAAAAATAATAGAAAAAACAAAGTTACGGTGCAGAGGGTTTATAATCTAGTCAAGCGATGTTGAGACCGCAAGCCAAGCGTCGTCCAAATCAATTGATTGCGATCCGGCTGCCTTAGATGTGGATGCCTTGGTACCTGCAGCTGTACCTACTACAAGTGCATATAGTTTAACTAATGGAAGATGATTTAGTTAAGACTGATAAAAACAGTCTACGACAGACAGGACGACCTACATGGAACTCGTTTCCTCGACAGAGGGGTCTACGATCCGAAACGACCCGAGTCTTACTCGGCCAACGTCTGTCACCTCAGCCCATTGTGTAAAAGCAATAGGGCTGCTACAACAACAACAACAACCTACATGGAACTCTTAGCGCTATACACGATAGTCTAGAGAAACAGAGTTGGGAACTATTCGACCAACTTTACAGACTTCTACCGGAAGAACAAAGTGGGAATATACTTCCTGAGGAACTGCTACAAAATTTAACCCTAACTGATGATGAGCTAGACACCACGTTTATTCCGGTCTAGAGAAACAGAGTTGGGAACTATTCGACCAACTTTACAGACTTCTACCGGAAGAACAAAGTGGGAATATACTTCCTGAGGAACTGCTACAAAATTTAACCCTAACTGATGATGAGCTAGACACCACGTTTATTCCGGCCAAGTCTACACAGGAAGATTGCTGTGGCTCCAACGAAGGAAGTTTAGAACCTGTAGCCCAACCGAATGCAAATTTAATTCCGACAGGTACTGTGTGGGCACATGAACAGAATCTTTGGCGAAATTGTGTTTATGAGTATGGATGTATCCTGATCGAACAAGGCATCACATAGGACCAACCTCCTCTGGACAGTCTGGTTTTTTATACAGACGGATCTAAGATGGAAGAATGTATAGGGGCTTGCGTCTACAGTGAAAGGCTAGGCCTTAAGCTCACCTACAAGTTGGATAGCAACTGTAGTGTTTTCTAAGTTGAAATCTTTGCGATTGATATCGTTGAACCGGTGACTATCTTTGTGGTTGGGATAGTCCAACCTGACCTCGTAATATGTTTTTGTCCAAATTTCTACAACCAACGACACTATTTACTACCTACTTCCTTTTTTCTTCCTTAAGGGAACACCCTCCCCCCATTCTCGATTTTTTTATTATTAAGATTTTAAATGGGCTGGTAAATGAATACAAATGCTTGTTAAGGTTTGTAATTTTGCACATATATATTTGAGGATTTAAAAAGGAAGAAAATAATTTACAAAAAATGTTTGTTGTTGTTTTTAGTGATCAATGAAAAGTCCTTATTTTTCATGGCGGGCATGATAACTCCTTACTGGAACATCGGTACATGTCTGGCTCTCGTATGAACTAGGATTATAAACTTCGCACAACAATTAACAAAATGGTGGAACTTTGAAAAAATATTTTTGGAAAATCACCCATTTTTTACCAAAAAACAAGTTAAAAAATAAGGAAGATCTTTACCGATTGGTTTTATCCTAGTTCATACGAGAGCTATACACTCACAGAGAAACGTGTAAAAATTTGGAATCGATTGGGTTATTAGTTTTTGAGTTAACGTGCCCGCCATTCGCAAAAAAATGTTTAGAGAAAAACGTGTTTAAAGTTTGAGAAGCCCTTCAGCCGTCACTTGATGCTGACACAATAAATCGGCTATATCTTCAAGAGTTCTTGAGATTTTCACTTGCAATTTTGTAGGGACATTCTTTAATTAGTGTAGATTCGAATTAAGTCAACAAAAATTTTGACACCGAGAATGGGGGGTCCCCTTAATAGTCCTTCTCAAAAATTTAAGTGTCTATCTAACTATTCTGATAAGGGTGTCATTTTGTGTCCTGGAAGCTAACTATTATCTACTATACCAACATAACTATATCACTGATATTTTCAATGAAGATCAGTAGATGAATTTTTGTATTTCTTACGTCGTCTAATTTGGCTTCCCCCAAGCTTCTGGAGATTTCTGGTCTATATATTGGATTATATGATGCATAAAAGAGCTTATTTTTCAATTTATCGGGGTCAGCTACATCGACTTGCGAAATCTAGGTCGATAGCGATGTTTTTATGAGTTCCTCTATAAGATCATTCCTTATAACAAAAGGGAGTTAGACTGATATCACATTTTCCGTAACTAGTGTGGATATCCCAATACAGGTGACAGCGGTCATCTCTTGTCAATAATAAGCGGTATCTTCCCTTAACGACATCATTGAATGTCCGTTTGGTAATCTTGTTATAATACGCAATGAACTGTCCCTAAAGATCTTAGTCTCATTCCCCTAAAGATCAACAGAAAGAGGATCCTTCCTCTCATTTCCTAATTTGGGAGAGCTCATTTCACGGTCGGTTGAATAATTAAAATATCTTCTACCATTGTTTGCTAAAAGCTAAAAGTTCAACTGTAATTTTGTTTCCATCCAGTGACGACGATAGCAGATTAGACAAAGAAGTGGACAATTGAAGAAGTATAACAATTGGCCTGACTCAGAGTGTAATTCCTATCGATCACCTTTTTTATGTACAAGACTGTCATTCAAATCTTCTGCTCTATTTCTCCTCCTTCTTCATATTAAAAACACAAAAGTGTCATATAGAAAATTCACGTTATCATTTGCTCTATTTACGGGATGTCATAGAAACGTTTATTCTTATGAAATATCCGCCAATAGAAAAATATATTTAATCCGGTCAACTAAATATCTGTCTAAAAATTCTAGAATTTGAAGTGTTATATTTTAATTATAAAAATAACATTTATTCTTATCGCAGAACTAAACAAATTACCTGGCTACTTTAGAGACGATTTGATTTATTTCAACTGCAGCAATCCCTCTATTGCCATGATTTTTTTTATTTATTATGTTGTCGATAGTAATTCGGTGGTATTTTCTACATTTGTGATGACTGATAATGATATGAGAATACCCACTTCTAGAACGTGCCTTGTTTTTTCTTTTATTTTTTTTTTTTTGTGAAAAAGATATCAGAAAAAATTAAACAGTTATTTGTTTATTAATAAATTCTGTTTTTTATTATTTTATTATTTTTTTTTATTATTTTTTTTGTTATTGTAGATCCACCAATACGGGCCGAACAGCAGCAGAATGTTCATGTCCCACAATATTTGCCAGATCCACGTGATGGTAGCATTTATCAGTTGGGAGATATGGGTAGTCTGAAAAAACTGCCATACACGATACCACAATTGGTGGCCAATGCTCCTTGCCGATCCTCGGATGGTATTTTGTATTCGGGTAAGAAGAGTGATACATGGTTTATAGTTGATCCGAAATCGGGACGTCGTGAAAAAGTCGGATTTGATGGATCGGTGGACGGTGGCGGCAGTGAGCGTATTGGATGGGCAACATCTCGGGCAATTTATTTGGGCAGAACTCAATACACCGTGATGATGTTTGACAGCCTGAATAAAAATAAAAATGCCAAGCCATGGAATATAACATTCTATGATTATAGTTCAATGGCCACAACACCAGATATTTCAAAGGATTATGGTAAGAGATTTTCGATTTTACCTACAACAAAAATAATATTAAATAATTTAATTCCTTCAGAATATCTACATCTGACCACAACCACGAATGGTAATATTTTGACACTGGATCGGAAAAATGGTAAATTTTTATGGAAAAATGATTTGACCAGTCCTGTGGTGGCGGCATTCCTTTTAGGTCCGGAGGGTTTACTAAGTGTACCATTTACCACCGTGTCAGAAGAAGCATTTAATGCTATTTTAGATGAATCCAAGGGTGGAAATGTCAATACAGTTAAACTATTGTGAGGAAACAAACAAATAGTACTATGTTTTACTTTACTAATTTCATTCATATTTATTTTCAGTCAATCGTTGTATGTAGGCGAACATGGTAACGGCTTGTATGCCCTTCCATCTTTGGTGGATAAAAATACACCCCGTATTTCCACTGCCCCACCCATTCATTTGTTGGATGGCCCGGACACTAATGTTGATCCAAATACCGTTTATTTGGATGATGTTCTAAAGAAGAATTCTGGCATTCTATTGGGTTATTACAATCGTCCCAATGATGTCAATTTACAACTCTCACCATCGCCGGCTGTTACCAAAGATGATAGCAATCATCAGTTGGCCACAATAAGTGCATCTCTTAACGGTCCAGGGCGTAGCATTCTGTCATCGGATAAAGAAAAACCCACCGCTGCAGATATTGGTGTACAAACCGATCCCATTATTGAATTGAAAATTGAATCGGAAATTCCGAATAAAACATTTGGTCGTTTTGCATTCAACAAGACCAAGGAAATAATTATAGACAACAGCAAACAAGTACGCAGTTTTATCTACGAGTGGTTTGTCGATCATCCCAGCAACCGTGTGCATGTTATACTCTGCATCATTATTGTTGTGATGCTGATGATGTTCTGGTACATGCACAGCTCTATGCAAGAGCTAAGAAATCAAAGTGAAAACGGCTCAAAAACTTTAGGCAATAGTGGTAGTCGTGGTAGTGGCAGCAGTAATATTAGTGCTCAAGATCTAATTGATTTGGGTGATGGCCACATTCGTGTTGGTAAAATTTCCTTTAACTCGAATGAAGTTCTGGGTAAAGGCTGTGAGGGCACATTTGTATTCAAGGGTACATTTGAAGATCGTCTGGTAGCTGTTAAGCGTTTGCTACCGGAATGTTTTACATTTGCCGATCGTGAAGTTGCTCTGCTAAGGGAAAGTGATGCCCATGAAAATGTTGTGCGTTATTTTTGTACGGAACAAGATCGACAATTTCGTTATATTGCCGTGGAGTTGTGTGCAGCTACACTACAAGATTATACGGAGGGTGAACGTAGCTTTGAATTGCGTTCGCAAATTCATGTGTGGGATGTATTGAAACAGGCGGCAGCCGGTTTAAGTCATTTGCATTCATTGAATATAGGTAAGGAATTGGAGATTCTATAAAAATTTCTGTCACCATTGAAGTAGATTGCTACATTTATGTTCGATCAAATATCTCTAAATATCGTTCTACTCCAATGGAGTGGGAAAAGTGGGAAAAATTGGTTCATCTAATTTTATATATTATTTCTTTTTTGCAGTCCATCGTGATATAAAACCTCAAAATGTTTTGCTATCCCTGCCCGATGTTAATGGAACTGTACGCGTTATGATATCCGATTTTGGCCTTTGCAAGAAACTTAATTATGGTAAAACTAGTTTCTCAAGACGATCTGGGGTTACTGGTACAGATGGTTGGATCGCTCCCGAAATGATGAGAGGACAAAGAACGGTAAAGTTAAATATTTCTTTCGTACAGATTTTTTGAGTCAATTTAATGTTGGTTTTGTTTCTATTTTCAGACGACATCTGTTGATATTTTTTCATTGGGCTGTGTATATTTTTATGTTCTAAGTAAAGGACAACATTTGTTTGGAGATGCTCTCAAACGCCAGGCAAATATTTTAACCAATGATCACAGTTTGTATCATTTAAAAGCTGAACGCAAAGAAGATCGCAGTAAATATGTAAGTATTTTGTTTTTGATAGTTATTAAGTTTTTCAATCGTGATCGACATTCGAATAGAAACCATAAAAAACGGTAACCCAAATTTCTAATGTAAAAAGTAATGAGTGAAGTGAAATAATGCAGATAGCCTTGATGGGTTTCAGGTCATTACAAAATAATAATAGTATATTGTTACGACGCAAATCTGAATCAACCAATATTTATGGGCCACAACACGGTAAAGCCAATTCTATAGAAGTGTTGCTAAAACGATTTTTGTTTCATATAGGGGTGAAAAATCTCAAAAGCTCGCTGGTCAGTCTCTTGCGTGGAATGTTTCATCTACACTATACCTCAACAGCACACTATTTTCACACAATAAGCTGAGGTGACAATCGTTGCGGAAATGATACGACCCACTGTCGTAATTCTATAAGGGTGCAATTTTGTTAGCCTGGGGTATTGATCGAGTATGCCAGACTTTTTTTCGATTAGTATCTGTTAAGGATTGCCATCCAACCAGATCGAAGTTGATTTAAAATAGAGCTAGTAGGACTGTAAGGAGTTATTCACTGTCATCTATTCTTGGAAAATCTATGATATGAACTCTACATAGGTACTTTCGACGGGTTTAATAAATTTTGACTGATGTACTTCTGAATGAGTCATAGAGACTTACAGATCATCAATGATTCTGATTTTGTGCGTTTTACAAATGTCGTCACCGATTAACAACACATTTTATACATAAATATATTAACTTGCATTCATATTTCAAATTTTTTTCGTTATAGATTTTAGCAACAGAGTTAATTAGTGACATGATTCATCGAGATCCACAATGTCGACCACCCGCCAAATGTATTGGCAATCATCCACTATTTTGGAATGATAAAAAAATATTGGCCTTTCTGCAGGATGTTAGTGATCGTGTCGAAAAGCTACAGTTTAATGTAGAGCCATTAAAATCATTGGAAAAGAATGGCAATATTGTTGTTCTGGAAGATTGGAATCTACATTTGGATCCCATAATAACCGAAGATTTACGCAAATTCCGTGGTTATATGGGTGCAAGTGTGCGGGATTTGTTGAGAGCTTTACGGAATAAGGTAAGTTTAAAATGTATTCTAAATGACTAATTTTTTATTTCCCTTAAATCAAACAACAAAGTTGGTTATCGATCTTTCATTTATTTCTATACTCGTCGAAATCGATCTGATCATTCAGTAATCTTTAATAACATCTGCATATAATTTTATTTTTATATCCAGCATCACACTGTGCTTTAGGATTCGATTCGATATACATATTTAGTCTCACTGGTTCCTCAACATTCTTGATTATCATCAGGAAATAGTTTTTATTTATCGTATATGTCTAACTAATGGATGAGTCTTCACAATAGTACCATCTCCAATTTGATTATTCTTCCAACTTATTATCTTCATCATTTCTTTGCAGAAACATCATTACCACGAACTAACTGAAGAAATGCAAAATATACTTGGCAGCATTCCACATGAATTTACAAACTATTGGATTAGCAGATTTCCACATTTAATATCGCATGCCTATCATGCATTTAGTATTTGCTCAAATGAGCCCATATTTAGATCCTACTACAATTCTACATATTTTTTTACACGTCCAGAGTATTTTGATGCCGACGATGATCTCTATCCCACACTGTTGCAAAGGGATCCCAAGCCGTTGGCAAAGCCAACAAATAGCCCCAAAAAACCAATAACATCGCAGCAGCAACAACAGCCGCGACAACGTAAAGGCAACTATAATTTCCGTAAGCCGCAAGGTGATGATGATTTACAACCACCAATGGGTGGCTTACAACGTAATTTTCCCGATAATGGCGGAAATGATGAAGAAAAGCGTGATGTATTTGCAAATTTCAAATTTAGACGTAATACGAAATCATCAAATCGTAATTATAACAACGCAAATAAGAAAGAGAAAAATGTTACCTGGACTCTGACAACTACAACAGCGACAGTGGCAGGTGTTAATGCAACTAACGTTATGCCAAAAGATGAATAGTAATTATGATGTGCAATTTTAGATGATTTTTTTGTTCGATAATTTAAGTTAACTAAAATCTATTTGATTAAAGGTTGTTCAATACCGATTCATTCGTACCACCCATTATGCGTCCTATTAGCAAAAATTTTGTTTTAACAATTCCGCCAGTTTTATTACAGCTCACAAATATAATCTATTATACATGTTTATATGTATGTGTAAAAAATATAATTTTTGTAAGCACACATCTAGAGAAACACACAAACCAATATAGTTACTAAGTTAGTTCAATAAGAAATGTATGTATTTTGCTATTTGGATGGGGGAGTTCGTTCCTTCGTTCGTTCTCGTCCACTTAACAAAAATACTGAATGTCTGTGATAATTATTAATGTATAACCATACACACTCTACTTGACTTACATATATGATTTCTTTTAATTCATTTATCCTCTATTCCTTTGTTCTCTTCTAAATGACAAAATTATACACATATATATTTGTATTTTATGCAATTATTTGGAATAAGAAATTATCAATGTTATCCTTGATAGATGATTTTCACCTACTATTTACTGAAACCAATGAACACTTTCTGGTCCAGTTTCTAATATTATTTTGGTAATTTATATTTATATTTTATGTGTAACCAATATTTACTTACCTACCTACCTTACTACTTCTACCAAAATCTTTTTTATTTCTTTTAGAAAATGGTTTTACTAAATACAATTTTTGTACATTTTTAATTTTATTATAAATAAATATAATGAAAAAAATATAATAACATTCGTAGTTTTTTATACATTTCAATATTTTTTTTTTTAATTTGTTTGCATTTCAATAACTATATAAAAACACAACAAAATATACAAACAAAATTCATAATAATACAATAACATATTTTCCATTTTATTTTCTCATCATTTACAATACATTCAATTAAATAATCTTTGGTTTTAGTTCAATACAAATGATGTATTACAATGAGCCCAATTTTATTAATTTAGTACCTAATTGAAATTATAATTCAAAAATGATAGCATCAGTTGGCCACATCCACACAAATATTTCATCCATCACTGTGCAAGGTCCCGAATTATGTCAAGTGTTTCACTTTTCCCAATCTAGAAGCTCAACTCAATATCATTATTATTATTGCGACAATACTTCTGCTTTCTTGTGATACATTTTACATAAGAAGACGAAAAGTTTCGTTTCGTATATAAATACACGAGTAAGACGAGCTAGGTCTGTAAATATACTCTCCGGGTTTGAAAGGTAATACCTTTCATAGCAACTCCGTTATATTTTTCACACAGGACAAGATACATTTGAAATATATAGATTGTCTGCTACCTAATTTCAACGTCAACGGTATCGTGTCAACGGTATCGTGTTTTCTATTCGTTCCCAATAAAATTAAGACGGTGGCAGATTATAAAGTAGTCGGTCTTTTAATCTAGAGGTTCACGTATGAATCTTTCATGAACATTTCTACAGCTCCCTTCTATGACAAAAGTGTTGTTCGTTGTTTTGGGGCGAGAACTATACATATACGTTCTTGCCTGACTCAAAAACACCTCAGCCTCAGAAAGAAACTCAAAAGTTTCAGCATAAGGCAATTTACATAAATTGTTTATAAACAAACCATTCATCATTTATACCTACCCTACCATAAAAAGGTGACAACTGACAATAATTCCTTTCGGTTGAAAAATGCGTCCTTTAAAATACAAAAAGATCTTTAAAATACAAAAAGTGTGGCATTATATGAGCTACTCCAAAGCGGGCACCAATATATTCCTTTTGCAATACTAAATATCCTAGGAGTAGTAGCATTGTATAAAAATATATTTTATTGGAGTTTTTTATTTATGTACGACCGTATTCATTGAGCCATATACAAACAGATGCATTGTCCATCTTATTATACTGTATCAATATGGAGCTTGCTGGAGTTGTATACCTCAATAACAACTAAAACGATATTAAGGTAGATTTTGATATAAATATCGAAAACTTTAAAAAAAAATATGAAAAATAAATTATTTGCACAGGCTGCTGTAATATATTCTCTAGTTGGTGTTCAAGGGATACTAAGCCCCAGTATAGGTGTGGCGTTGAAATACCAATTATTTGACAATCCGTTCAATATAAAGTATTGAGGGAAAATTTGTGGGGATCCTCCACAAAGACAAAGGGTAAGGAAACATTTTGTTAGATATCCCCGTAGTGACCACTACTTTCAATTTAAATGTATAAATTGTGAATTGAACTCTTGCAGACCAAAATTGTTAAAGTACACCGAGAAAAACTATTCTCGAATTTAAAAACGTGCGCGTATGGAAAAAGAAATTTTGTAACTAATTGTGGTATTTCTCGCCCTTGCTATGTGGATGTTGCCGTGATCTATTATAAAAATGAACAACATATTTTTTATAATGGAACATATTTTATAATTTTCTTCATTTATTGTAACGATTGTTGAATTAGAAATACTATAACAAAGAAATAAAATAAATAAATAAAACAACGATTTTAAAAATTTCTTCTATTAAATCTAAATAGTTTTTTTTTGTTATAAATAAATAATTAAATATAGTTTTCTTATAAAATATTATAAATTAATAGTGAAAAATATATTTGTTAGATATAAATTTGTTCGTATTGATTCTAGAAAGGATTGCAAATTTGGCTAGATTAGGCATCGACATATTGTTGTTAGTAGTTCTTTTTAATTTTTTTGTTTTTGGTTTATAAAGCTTCTGTACGATAACAAATTGTTGTTGTTGTTCTTTTTGTATCCACAGTCCACAAAGCAAACTGCTGCTAATGGAGTTTATTTATTTTGTTTCATGTCTTGTTTAATGCACGATTTAAATGCTTCCCATCCTTCGGATTTGCCCACCGACTGAAAAGAGATGACAAAGCAGCAGAGATGCAAATAATGTTTTATTTTTTTAATCTGATTTGTTTAATTGTGCTTGGTTGATAATTATATACACTTTATGCTATAAATACTTACTGCGTTTTTTAAATAAGCTATGATTTATTAATGCGAAATATGAGTAATGCGATATTATGTGAAGTGGCATAATATTAAAATTACGCTAACTTGTTTTAATATATCCTATGTGCAATATAAGGAGGCGAATCGTTCATTAGGATTCGCACCTTGTTCGATTCAACAATATTCACCTTTAAACCCCTTACCAATTCTTTTATATTGACATTAGATGCCTGGGTAATTAACCACTTAAGAAGAATATATAAAGTAAAACAAAACATGAGAATTGACGGATACACATTTTGTACCATAAATGTGGAAATCGGTTACCGAACATCTGATTTTTATAACCAATTAGTATATATTCCAAGAAGTTAAACAACCTTTTCAGAGAACTGTGCTATTGAATGACAGCAATTTGGAAAACATTATAATCAATATAGCCACTCATTACGTACCCAAAACGATCCGAAGTGATACAAACATGAGCCGATGCCTAAGTGCATTATTTGGAATGGGACATTTTTTGGCCGAAAAGGTTAGCAAAGTAAGAGTAAACTGCTAGTACTACATATTTTAAGATATAATTCAAAAAATTTCAATTCTCAAGTTCCTGCGGTCTCGGTAGGAATTCGTTCCATCGGAATTCGTCCCTTTCGTACTTCCTCCTATTCCTATTGAGGTTCTTATCAACATGGGAGTACCGCAAGGCGGTGTCCTATCTCCCATTTTGTTCGACCTGTATCTTGCGAAACTCCCCATTCCTCCACTTCATGTTTCAGTGGTTCCGTACGCCGATGACAGTACGATTATTTCGTCCGGCGTTAACATTAACCATAAACAACACACTCCAGGAGCGCAATCTAAAATTATCCACTGCAAAGTCTACCGTGTCTCTTTTCACTTCCTGGACGCGAGAAGTCAATTTAGAACTTGACATTCCTATTGAAGGTAGGCTCATCCCCACAGTCCATAATCCGAAAATCCTTGGGGTGGTCTTCGATAATCTCCTTCATTTCTCCTAGCATTCTAACTACATCAACCAGAAGGTGAAAGCTAGGAATAAAGCTCTGAGAGCTTTGGCTGGTATTTCGTGGGAAAGATATAGAAACGTTGGTAACAACATACAAGGCTATAGGTCGTTCCATCCTTAATTATGCTGCCCCAGTCTGGACTTCTTTCTTTAGAGACACACCATGGAAATCCTTGCAAACAACACGAGCGTCGATCTCCTACACGAGGAGACCAGGATGCTGTCAGTCAAGCAACATAATGTGTTCTTGACTAGAAAGTTCCTGCTGGCATGCTATCTGCCGTGTCATCCCAACTATCACGCAGTGTTGACAGATTAATTAGAAGAAATTAATTCCAAGAAAGCAGGACTTCAGGCGTTATCGTGAAGGCATCCAAGACGTCATTCCATCGGAAGTCAACAGATTGTCTTTAGCGAACACGCCAGATAATGCATCAACTGGCGGTCCTAAACCCATAAATGACTACAGATGCAACAAAGTCCTACTCTAACATCCTCTTGTAATTTCTGACAGTGACAGGCTTTTTCCTAGGCAAACCCGTTCGATTCTGGGACAACTAAGGTCTGGGTACAGCAATGTTTTCAATTCGTATCGACAGGGCATTGTGCCCTCACACACACACGCAACATCTATTCAATAGTCCGTCCGAGCCTACAAGTCTATTGCCTATAGACTAATGGCTAAAGCCAGTAGAGGTGGCTCCGGCTACCCTCTTCAATTTCTAATTAATATATTTTCCTTTTCTTTGTTCCGTTTTCTATCAATATTTTCAGGAAAGAACTTTCACCAACCTCTTACAACAACAACCACACATCGCAGCAATTACAGTTAATAAATTTTGCGAAATGTGAGATAAGATTTAAAAATGTATTTGAAATGTTGATGTGATGGAGAAGATTAATTTGAAGAAGATCTACTATTAACCACTCATAATGTAGTAAATCTTATGTTTGATCAATGGGACCCTATTTAAAATACCAGAAGATTTTTTAATAGATTACGAAGTAAATAAATTAAATAGATAAAAATGTCTTTAAAATGTGAATGGATGAATTTGAAAAACTTGATAAATGTCAAAAAGTGATGCGATAACTTTAAGTGAAGTTTTAATGTGGTGGTAAACAACAAAAATGAATATAGAAGAGGATTTATTTCGCTTTTACCATTTCATGGGACTGAAACTTGTGAATATTGTTGACACAGGTTATTAGAATACTTGATGACGTGAGTGATGTGTTAATTTTGTAGAAACAACAAAACGAGAACAATAATTTAGTTACAGAAAAGCAGATTGAGACATAAAACGCCTTAGAATATATCGAACAAAATACACAGCCAATTAAAACAAAATGATTTAAAAATGTGTGTGTCATTTAAAAAAATTGTTTATTAAAATAAAACAATAATAATAAATAAATTAATAAGCACTTAAAGTTAAAAGACTTAGGCCCACAGTATACAATAAAATAAAACAACAATTAAAGCAAATAACATAAAAATAATTGAGTACATAGCAATAAACAAAACAAAAAATTGTGTTCATAGTCTTGTCATGTTTTCTTTTCGCGTGTGAGAGATTATTTGTTTCATTGTGTTGATTGAGTATACGACTGTAATATTGGATGATCCAGAAAAGGGTTACAACATTTATGCATGTTAAAAATATTTTAATTTAAATAAGTATGACATCAAAATTAAATTTCAGACCTTTTAACTTTCTGGATCATCCAATATTTTAACATTAAAGCTTTATTGTTAGCGTAACAAAAAGTATAATTAGGCTTAAGTGTGCATAGGGCGCTGTTGTGGCAACAATACATAAAAAACATAAAAAAAGAGATTCTTATAAAACGTCATGCTCATAGAAATGATCAAGATTGCGACAGGCACGTTTACGCCAAACAGCAAACATGGGCTGTTCAGGTTCATCGTATGTATCTAATAGCTCGTTATATTCGAATGCATGACCACTTACTTTAAAGCCGCGATGCAGGCGATCCTTCATGATCGCTATGAATTCCTTGTAGGAGAGCAAACCATCACCATCCTGATCGAAAATGGCAAAAACTGTATCAATTAAATGACGTGACAGTGTGTAACCGGTGCAGATTTTGACAGCTCTAGAAAATTCATCTGAAATTAAAGAAAGGTATATGTGTGAGATAAATATAACGAACGACTATGATATTACAGAATAAACCAATTTTTGAAAATAGGTCTTCGAAGTAAAGGGTGCATTCAATCTAATACTGACTTATCTCGCATCAGCTAGCAGTAATAATCTCAGTTGAATACCAAAAGTAATGACCTAAGTTGGTCCAAAGTAATACTGTGTTCCTGGTCTCCTCTTCTAAAGGATGACTCCCTAACGCTGGGGTATTAAGCGACCTCGTGCCTATCAGTTAAATGGTTTACACTAAGGGTATCGACTGTATTCGTATTTCGTCCGGCGTTAACATTGACGACGTAAGTGCAAGAATTTCTCCTCGCATTCCAATTACATCAACCAGAAGGTGAATGCTAGGAATAAAGTTTTGAAATATTTGGCTGGCACCTCCTGGGGCTAGATAACGACATATATAAGGCCATAGGTCATTCCATCCAAAATTATGCTGCCCCTGACTTCTTTCCTTAGCAACACACAATTTAGATCATTGCAAACAACCCAAATAATACACTCCAAATTGCAACAGGCTATATTTAAATGATGAGCATCGATCACCTCCATGAGGACACCAGGATGCGGTATGGTATGCTATCTGCCGTGTCATCGCAACAATCACACAGTGATAGCAGATCCACCTGAGCGACACATCCGTCAGGACTTCAGGCGCTATCGTGAAGGCGTCCAAGACGTCATTCCATCGGAAGTCAACATATTGGAATCCTGCCAGCAAAGCCCTCACAACACACACCATCTATTCAATTGTCCGATCGAGCCTATAGACTTATGGCTAATGCCTATAGAAGTATCACCGTTTATCCGGCTAAACTCTTCGAATCTTAATTCCTAACTAATAATTATTATATTTTCTACTTCTATTTTCTATCAATATTTTTAGGAAAGAACTTTCACTAACAGCCAACCTGTTACAACAACAACTTTAGAGAGAATGAGATCGTCCGAGGAGCTGCAGACTGCTTAACTGTCTGTCTCCTATTCATGGGAAGACGAAAGTCGTACCAAGTGTTCGCATGAACTTTTGAAGCCAAAAACTAATCGTCAATCGTCAAATGGTCCCAGATAACCAAATTCTATCTTTTCGCTGGTACTTCCATCATCATCTGAAGACCATGTTCTTAACAGACCAGGTTGGCCATCAAATGCAGCAGTTAGGTAGGATTATGATCTTGGCGATGTATACATGTGTAAGGTTGAACTCATATCTCGCCAAATAATCTACGTAAATATTCACCCCTATTCCGTATGTCGTCGTCGTTGTCGACGACGTTTCTCTTTCGACATCACTTCGCATCGACATCGACATCACTTCGACACTGATTTGGTATTCTGTAACACTCATGCGACGATGTCGACTATTTATCGATATCAATAAAAACAAAAATTTTGTTGCATATTTTTGGGCAAAAATGTGTTTGTATCCTTCACCGCACTGTGGCACAGGGCATTATGCCTTGGTAAATGTGTCTGCAACGACCAAAAAGAAACGAGATAGACCCATAGTTACTTTTTAGTATATATGTACATAGAATTATTTTTTAGTCGATTTATGCATGTCCCTCCATTCATGTATTATTTTAAACAAGTTACATGCCACCATTATGATCCGAACGGGATGAAATTTGGAAAAAATCCATCCAATTGGGATGAAATTTTATTTCCACATAGAGTCCTATTGACATTGGTCAAAATCGGTTCAGATTTATATATAGATTCCATATATTTTTCTTTATTTACACTTTATTTTGCATTAAGTATTGAATAGATTCTAGAATGATGTATCCTGTTCTTGTCAGGTCATGTTTTTTTTTTTTTTAATTTCTAAAAAAAAAATGTTCAAACGCTTCAGTCGTCAACAAAAACTATGACGAAGAAATCTTCGACATCGTCGTCGTCACACATTGTTACGGAATACCAAAATATTTCAATAGTTATCGATAAATGTCGACAACGACATAGGGAATACCAATTTGCAAAAGACGACTCTCTTCGACGTCGTTTCGTGTCGACGACGACATACAGAATAGGGGTGATTATTATTTTTTAGGCAGATGGCTGTACTGATAGATTTCTCGTAAAGTATCGATCAAACAATTTCAGATTTATGTAAGCCAAGCGGCTAAAATTGATAATGGTGTTTATGGTTCCGATACTGTAACAGCCAATTATGTGCAATTTTAGTTTCGTAGATTCCGTTCAGAAATTTTTGATGTTAAAGATGCACCTTGCACAGGTAGGCCGGTCGTGGAAAATGTGGATAAAATCGTACAAAAAACAATGGATATTTGGCTCAAATCGGACATTTCGATGTATGTTAAATAAAGTCCTATAGTTCATATAAAAATAATGGATTTCTTTTTCAGTTGGTAATTTCAATTAACGATTTTTATTTGACTACAACTTCTAGGTATCATTATACGGAATCTATACAAAAACGTGTATCGGTATTAATATCTTCCAATTGACATTTTTTTCCTGAAAATCGTAATATTCCGCAATATGAGCCGATGTTTTCCATTACCGCAAAATCTAGAGATATCATTATATGGGACCTATACTAAAACGTTGACTTGCGTAAACAGGTGTTAAAAGAGCGGTTTTATAAAATACGACACAAATGATGTGACTAAAAACTACAAAATACCGAATATCGGAGATGGTACCAAAACGATGACCGATAAACCCATCTTCACAATAACAACAGACGATGATAGGACATTTTTAAATCGTATGATCTACATAGGTTTTTAAAATGAATATCTCTAGAAGCTATCAACGGAATAAAAATATTGACATACCTCATGGTGGAATTGTATTAAAAATGTGAATAGCGAACCCTAGTTATTACATCGCCGAAACCAAACTAACAATATTCCGTAGTCGTGATGTATTGTATAAAAATATGGTTATTATATAAGCCTATATTACCTTTTGAAATGGCACGATCAGCCAATGTGTACATACGCATGGCAATGGAGAAATCATCCAAATTGTTAAGGAAACGACAGAAATCTCGGAATTCATCAAATGTTATGCCTTGTTCATCCTTGACACGATCCAAAAGACGTTCCAGAAAACTATCATATTCTTCGGTATCCAAATATGTATAACGTAAAAGAATTTTGGCAAAATCTACTTCCGTTATGGCTTTATTGCCTTTGGAAAATTCGGTAAATTCCAATTCTAATACTTCGGTTTGCAGGTTGTCCATGAATTTATAGAAACCTTCATAGTATAGATCCTTATCACCCTTTTTGCCAAACAAGTGGACTTGTAGAGTGGTGTCGACTTTGTGTTTACGTTGTAAGCCTTCTTCGTCATCAATGTAGTTGTCCTGTTGTGGTTAATGGAAAAATGCAGATTAGTAAAAAATAATCAAATGAGGATAGGATTTTTTTTAATTTGGATAAAAAGTTTTTTTTACTTCTAAAATTTTTAGTCACTTGCAAAATTTGGAAAAGGGTTAACACAAAATAGTATATCAGGAATACAAACTTTTCACTTGTTTTGAAAATAGAAAAATGTACATAGTGACGGATATACATATAGTATAGTACATTTTTACAACACCTTAATAGAGTGTCATATAGTACAAATGTAGTTCATTTTTACATGTTTTTTTTTTTAATTTTCCACATTGTTTTTGTTTTTTTGCGGTATACTGTACCTCTTCTTTTTCTTCCTCTTCTTGTTTAGATTTATTATCTTCTTCTGTGGCCTCTTCTTCAGTTTTATTTTTGCCACGTTTATCTTTCCATGCTCCACTAAATATGCGTTCCATCTTTAGCACAATATATTGGTGGTTACACAGTACAGAACATACATTCATTGATAGGGATTGATTGTAGGGGGAGAATCCATTCGGGTTAAATATTAGCAATAGAGGTTAGCATATAGATATTTGGGGAGAAATGGAAAAAGCAAGGGAAAAATTGGATAATATTAAAGAGGTTATTAGTTACCATACTCAGATGCGTTTTTACAAATTAAAGTGTTGTTAAAAAAACTTATAATAAAAAAATAAAAAATAAATGTGGACAATGATGTTCATTGAACAAACTAAAGCTTGGAAATAATAATATTATAAAACGAGGAATAAAACTTTAAACAAGGACAATAAACAAATAAACAGGGATATTTTAGGTGACCTCATATTCGGATATGTTTGTGTGTTTTATTGATATTTTGTGTTTTTACTTACAATAACGGAAATGTACGTCTTTGTCATTGAAACAAGAAAAATAACTAAGGCGCAGCTTGCTAATTGGACAAAACAGAAGCTCGTTTAAGAAAGAAGGCAATTAAAATATATTTCAACTTAAATAACAAAAAACTGAGCAGCTTTTAGGACTTTTAGGCATCTCTAGCACACAGTGCATAGATGTTCAAAATCAAATAATAATTTGAGAAATTATATATACATATGTTTCCCAATAATATTTTGAGACAGGGAACCACTGTGCTAGACTGCAACGAAATAATATATTGCTGAAACAAATTCGTAATAGCATTTTTATTTTTTCTAAAGCTAAGATTTTTGTTGCAAGCTTTAGAATAAACGACAAGCCAATGTTCTTAAGAATAGCTATTTATAACTTATTTCTATTATAAAACAAAAAATAAAATATTAACTCGTGAACAGAAAAATAGTCAACAAACAAATAAAATTAACTCAAACAAGTGAACATTGAAACGAAAGGCATTCTGATAACAAATCAAATCCATCTCTGAAACTTACAAATGCATTTTTTTGGCTAGGCTTTTCTTTTGGCTTTTTCTTGTAATATAATTCACGAGCCTGTTCTTCGGTGGAAACTAAACGTTTAAGCTGAATACCGGATTTTAAATAAAAAACAAAATTATTATTAAGAAAACCAAAATGAGAATATCATCTTGTACACATTGCGGAATAAGGAAATTATACATTCATTTCTTAACATAACCTATTATAATCCTGAAAGGCAAGCTATATAAGGGTAATGTTTTTTTTTGTATTTGAATAAAAAGAATATAAAATAATTTGTTTATAAATATATAGAAAATATAAATATATAATTATAAAGCAAATTTTATTTGGAAATAACAAAAAAAGGGAATTGATACAGACGGCAAAGAAACATTAACGGTGTTCGCAAGTTCGTATGGCGAGATGCGAATTTGCTTTCGGAGAGGGAGGTTCATCTCATCAAGGGTAAGATGAAATGTGTATGGAAATTCGAAAGAACCTATCCACACGCTTTTCATCGAGAGCTCCAGATGGAGAGGATATTCCTCCCGAAACAAAAAGATGCTCGATTAAAACCTCTAAATGAGCAGAGTAGTATTCGATCGTCGATCGGTATCTGAAGAACGGACGAAATGAATCGAATGAGACTATGGTTTTACAAAGCGCTTAAGGCCATTAACAATTTCCTTGGGGAAGGTTCAATCTGGCTATCTGTATTCAGAGAGAGGGTTGAACCACCACTTCTGGGTTAGGCGTAAGTTGGAAGCTGAAGATGTTTGAGAAGTAGACGGTCTTCGAATAAGTGGTTACGAAAGCTGCTGGAGGAGCTGGGAACTTTTTTAAATATTATTCCCATTAGTTATACATTTTTCTCAATTATATGTTCATAACAAATAGCACCCTAATGATTTTCCATATAAAATTTGCTCATAAATAAATACAAAAATATGATTATTAAATAATAATTGAAAAATTAAAAGCTTACAATTCGTCTTGTTTCATCATCCAAGTCATGTGAATGAAAAGAGCCACCCAAAATTTGTCTAACCTAAATGAAAACAGGTTTAAAATAATATAATGGAAATAAAATTAAAAATCACAAATAAAATGTAAAAAAACAACAATTAAGAAATATTTATGTAAATAATGTTGAAAACATAAAATCAAGGGCAGTTCATTATTTGCAATGAAAATTAGAATGTTGACAAAATTTACATAGGTGTTGCATACAACATGCTTTAGGGTCTAATTTTTAAGCATATTTCTTTGTAAATGTCAAACTGCCCTTTTTTAAGAACTTCGTTTTGGTAACATACCACTAGGAATTCATTTTTATCAACACGCGAATTACCATCAGTATCGAACATGTTAAAGGCAATGCGGAAACCTGATTTGGGTTCTGTAAGTAACAATGAACAATAAAAAATATTTACAACAATTAATCAATGGCTATTATGCAAAAGTAGAAATGCTTTGTAGCATTTACTTACTGGTCAAGACTGATAACAGAAACAAATACTCGGTATATGAAATAATTCCTATTAAAAACAAATAATAATGACAAATTATTGATTGTTTGTAATAACGAGTCAGTCAACAGCATTTTACCTTTATCTCTTAACGTTCTAAAAAGTTGATTGGATCCTTTCTTTAATGGTGGTGTTATATCTTTTATTTTGGCAACTTCTTGTTCGGTTAACACTTTTCGTTTAAGGCGGGCTATAAGAAAAAGGTTTTAAATTTTGAAATTTGTTTAATAAAATTAATTCAATATCATACGTCTTGGCTCCTGCTCGACAACAGAATCCAAAAAGTCTTGCGGTGTCATGTACAATTGTCCGTCGTATTCGACAGAAGAAAATTTGATAAATCGCCTCTCACGTGCTGTCAGCTTAACTAAATTTTCTTCTTCACGCTAAAATGGAAATAAAGAAAATAATTAATTTTTAATTTTTAAAAACATTTAAAAATGAATTAAGTTCGTCTTGGCGAATAAGATTACGGACGCTCTGTATGAAAATTGTGTTTAGGCCTTCAGCATATCGTGAATTTTATATGGGAGCTATGTGAAAACATGACCTGTGTATATTGAAAAATTTCGGAACGAAATGTTTTTCCTTTAAGAACCTGAAATGCCCAATTGGGAATTGTCAGAAAGAGTTTCACTGTTATAACCACGGTTCTGGGGTTTGACATTGATGGTTCTGAGGGAATTTTAATGGCAAAGATCGGTTAATATATATAGGGGATGAAATGGACCAAAAACTTAACTTTTGTCGGTTTTTTGGTCGCTCGAACTTTTACATGGAGAAGGGGATCGGGCCAAAGAATAAACATGCCGGTTTTGATAAAGATCGGTCAATATTTAGCGGGTCAAATGGATATTGACTTTTGTGTGAAAAATGGCAATATTTGTGTTCTATAGCGTATGAAGACCCGAGAAGTTGAGAGTATATCCAAGACGAGTGGTTGACATTTAAATTGATTCTAATTATATTGTCGTACACTCGGATATGGGAGTTACACTTAAATATTTACAGGTGCTTACGTACTGAGATAGCATTTAGTAACCCATTACCACACTAGAGGGCGAAATATGGCGCTGATCGTTTTGAAATTTTCCATGAGGATCCAGGTACGGTCAAGGACAACGCCTATAATTTTCGGTGAATATCAGATAATAATATTGGGATGAAGTGGACCGAAAACTTAATTTTTTGTGTTTTTCTTGAGTCGATCTATAGGCCACCATTATAAGCCGAACATCACAAGGGAAGGAAATCTGGACAAGTAATTAGAATGGCTGTACTGAATATTAGTAATATTCGGAATATATGTCAGTGTAAGGAAGTGGTGCTGTTGATCTCTAATCGGGCAAGAGGGTGGAAATATCACGAAATATTGCCCAAGCTCAGAATAAACATCCGCAGAAAGTTGGAGTTCCGTGGATGTTGTGTAAGGTATAGTCCGTCCGACTATACTGCTCCGCTCACTGGTTTTAATTGTTTTTGTAAATTTCTCACGGATATATTTTCAAACAATATCAATCACTTGCTTTATTAGTCTGCTATTCAAATTATTTTCTATTGAAATAAACACCCCACGAATAACGCATTCAACGAGTTCACAACAACTAATGAACTATAAATTAAATTATAATGTTAACAAAACTAACTTCAAAATAAACAAATTGCCCTATAAATTATACTCGATGTAATAACATGAAATGAAATTTGATACCACGAGTGTGCCGCGATCTAATGGCGCCACTAAGAAGTGATCCCATAACAGACAAATAATAACAGTAACAAAAACAGTTGAAATAGATTCCAATTGATTGGAGTGGAGTGGTAGGAGGAATTAAATAAGCTGCACAATGCTACTTACTGCCGCTCCGAAAAGCGGGTAAAAAATTAATTCACAAAACACCCACCTGCAATAAATTACAACCGAAGACATGAAGTCAGTCAGGCAGCCAACCAACCAGCATGCGCAGAATGGCACAGCTCAGCGCCAATGAAATGTGACATTATCTATAAATCACAATTGGAATCTCAGAGCGAAAGATTGCATTTATGATCATTTCCATATGATAATCGGCGAGATTTAATGTCGGTGGCAATGTTTGTCAGTAGTGGTGGTACTGATGATTGTGGCTGGGATCGTGATCCCTTCATAATGCTAAGGCGGAGTTTGCCTTTGTGGCGCACAAAAGAATTTGAAAGATAAATAAATGCAAACTTTCAATGGCAACTAACTCACCACAGACGGAGACAGACAGACAGACAGTCAAACATCCAATGGGAATGTTTACATTGTTTGGTCTGACATCCAATAAATATCCTCCCAACAATTACAAACACCAGAAAAGAAAACGCGACACAATACATGACACAATTTCATGATGAATGACATCCGAACGGCGGTAGAAATTGTTATTGCCAATCATTCTGCAAATTATGCATTGCATGTCGTACATACATACACACATGTCTTTGACAGTAGCTGTGAAAAGGATGATGTCAGTTGAATGCGGATTTATGCGCCACAGCAAAAATTCTCTTTTGTATTATAAGTATCCTTATCTCTCGCTATCATCGTCATTATTTTATATATGCTCGCACCCCCAGCATTCATCACAATACCGAAAGTGATATCATGCATCCATCATCATTACCGACCTGCCTGTCTGGGAAATAGATCGCGTGGGAGCAGGTAGATTTATTTTGTTTGTGTAGTTAAAGATCATTTCAACTTCTGTATGTAGACAGATCATTATGATATTTATTCATAATTGTTATCGGGGCTTAGAGATCACACAGTAATGGCCCGATTAAAAAGATTGAACAATTAAAAAAGAAATCACAATAGAACGTAAGAGATCCTATTCCTGTTAAGGAGGTGTGTGTAGACAAATGTGACATGATTTGTATGAAATGACTGGGGATAGCAGATCGCAGTGAAATCGTATAAATAATACCATTGTTAGATATTAATATTATTTTTGCAACATCCGTTTCATTGTCATTCAATACACAAACAATCAGGCCAGAATTATTTTGATGCTAATATTAATTTATATATATTTTTTTATTTATACAACTTTCAACTTCTAGTTTGCTACATCTGACTTAGCTTTTTATTCATAGAGGCGTAGTGACAGTGGCCAAGCTAAACAGAAAGGCATTTCGGTATCCAAATTTTGTTAACAAATAACAAATCGGTGTTAACGAATTAAATATAGAGAATGATTTCTGTTCTAACATCATTAACAAATTTCGAAAATTAATATAGAAGACGTTAGTCCCGAATACAGAAAACTCTACTATACACATTTAAATTACTATATCTAATTTTAAGTTTTTTTTTTAACATTATAATGTAGTCGAAACACTGGACATATTATAATTAAAATAAATAATATATACATTAGGTTTATGTGTAGATGAGGATAGTATGGATGACAACATAAGTCAAAATACCCGCTGTCCTTAAATACCCGATGTCGAGGATCGTAAAAATCCCAAATACAAATTGTGTGACTCGCAAGAAAAAACACGGACGATCTTTGAGAATATGCATAGAATCAATACAAAAATTTGTATAAGTCGTCCATTTTTTAACCGATTTTTTAGATATTTCTCATTTTCGAAAGCTTATTTAATTGTCTACCCACGTTTTTTCTACATTTACCGTTATAAAACTAATTTTCGAAGTGACCCAGAAAAACCAAAGGTATATTCGTGGCCCAGGGACTCCAACTAAACAGAATTGGTACATTAGAACCCCTGAAAAATTTTCGTGTCGCACAGTGTAATTAAACATAAACATATTGCCATAACACATGATGGGCATTGAAATCTCCTAGTATCAGGGGGTTATGACTATCTATAATTGGCCTAATATCCGAAAAATTACCCAGTTTACAGCTATTCATCGGCTTTATATAAACATTAAGCATCTCTACCTTGGCAGTTCCACCCTACCCCCATACATTCATTCCACGGAAGCTGCTTCTATGTTCTGAATTGATTTGCCACCTTAACAACAAATACAAGTATTTGATATCGGTTTTGTATACTGGTATTACACATTCATACATTTGATATCGATGTCCTCCAATAACTTCAGTAAATACAATAAAGGTACCTGGTACCAAATTACAGATCATTATTCTATTATGGGAATCTGCTCACAATTACCATATATTTGGACATTGAACAGTTCTTTCATCTGAGGAAATATCAGTGATGAAACATGCTAATAAAGTCCTGTGGCCTATATACAGATCATGAGTCTATTATTACTTCTAGTCGCACGATACCAAAATGATCGCCCCAGTACATTTCTAGATTGTCAATGTTGTCATTTCCATTGGCTGTTATCACGTCTACAATAGGAATCTCAATTTCGGTTGGATGTGCCCAGATCCAAAAAAAAAATATTAACTTCGATATTGAGGTTGATGTTAAATTCGTTTTCATATTTTAGCCAGGTTTATAGCTTATTTCGGATCGTAGACCCACTGTTGAAGGGACAGTGGTTTGAACTATAAAATATGAATCTTCTACATTATCAAATATCATAAATAATATGAAACTATTTATTTTACGAGATTAGCTATTGGACACCTGGTTCTGGTTTATTCCTTTATCATGCATGCATCATTAGTCCAAACAGATGGGCATATACCTTAGTTCGATTGCAGCACTTACTACAGCCATGCACATGAGCACATAAGCAATTATGGTAATGAGGAGTTACAAACTTAGTATTGCTACCTTTCCAATGTAATGTGCATATTAACTTATACATGACCATTTTGGCTAGTTGTTTATGTCTAAAACCGTCAAATTTGCTTCCGGAATTAAACAAAAATATTTACATTGTATCTACGTCGCTGCTATCAATTAACATGAACTTGAAAAACATTTATCAGCTATTACATGCGTATGTGTGGTTGTTGTTGTTAGCTATTGATTGCAAAGATACGACATTTTTGTATGGGTTAACGACCTTATCAATTATGTGATAGAGTTGAAAGCAATAACTAATTTGTTGTTAATTTATACCCCTTCATATTTTAACAATGATGACACATTTAGTAAAACAATATATCACAAAATATTGAGGTCATGTGAAAAAGTTGGCCCAGTTCTTTCGTCATTGAATTATGGCCAATTTCTATATCCTTTTTCCAAAGCAAAATAATATTTTAAAGAAAATTATTTCATTTTTAGAGAATAAAGAAAAATTTTCTTTGAATTCTACAAATTGAATTATCTTCCTTTCGATTTCCAAAAGAAAACTTGGCATCCCTACACCCAAACAAATAATATAAACAAACACAGCTGACTGGGGAGATTTCCAGAGCGTTAAAAAGAGAACGAGGAGAGAGTAGATTATATCCATCAACAGAACAATAAAAATACACATAAACATTCGACTATAAGCAAGTGTCAATATACATTTGGGCTAAAAATAGACACAAATATACCATATTCACCATATTCAGGCAAAAAATGGCACATGATGAAGTAGAAAAAATTCATTTCTTTGTTTCTCCACAACAGATCTCTGGCAAATTTTCACCCAAAACACATTGAATATTTCTATTCCATTCAACTTCAAAACAAGTTTTTTGCATTAATCATCGCCTCACCTTAATTCGTTTCAGATTGAGAGCTTCATGTCGATTGGATTGGTTTTTCATTAAATTTGCAAACATAAACGCGGTGACTCCGCCACCAACTACTAACACATATTTCACATAATTTCGTTGTTTTTGTGGCGTGTAACGGACAGAACTGAGGTTTCTTTGTACGGGTCGAAGGTTTTTTGTAAAATTCACTAGACTTTTTGTTATTAATAATCGATTTGTAACACTCATTTTGTTTTTCTTTAAATCTTTTCCGTCCGATCCGTTCCGTATGTTTTACTTTAGAGTTGGGTAGTTCAACTAGTTCATTGGAACTATTCCGAGAAAGGAACGAACGGAACTAGTTCCAGTTCTTTAATTAATATCAAGGTATATTTAACAAGGTAGCCGCATCGGCCCAGCTGTTGGTGCAAATAAATGTCAAAAATGTTGTTGTAGTGTAAAACCAAAAAATTATAAAACAAAATTATAAAGGAAAATCTCCGAATTTTGAAGATCTTGTTTGGCAATACTTTTATTAACATTTTCTACAAGAATCTGTGTAAAAAATCTTATGAATCTGTTTGTTTTGGCAAAATGTTTTTGACATATCAAATAGAAATTCGCCGATGCGGCTACCTTATATATCTAACTTGATTAATATAATTCCTTTCTCTGATCCAGTTCCTTTTTTGAACTATTTGAAGCAAAGGAACTGTATGGAGCAAAGGAACTATAAAGAGCAAAGGAACTATATGGAGCAAAGGAACTATTTGGAGCATAGGAACTATAAAGAGCAAAGGAACTATATGGAGCAAAGGAACTATATATGGAAAAACGAAAAAAAAATAATAAAAGAGAGAGAGAGATTCAAAAGAACAGTGGGAAGCCTCCAAGACTCCAGCCTTCATAAAATTCGCTTGTTAATCGTCGTTCTGCCAAGACTCAAGCGACGTCGTACGCAAACCTTCGCCAACAAATGGTCTGTTCCAGTACTTTTTATACCCTCCACCATAGTATGGAGGGTATATTAATTTTGTCATTCCGTTTGTAACTCATCGAAATATTCATTTCCGACCCTTTAAAGTATATATATTCTTGATCAGGGTAAAATTCTAAGACGATCTAGCCATCTCCGTCCGTCTGTTGTAATCACGCTATCTTCTGAAGGAATTGAGATAGGGTGCTGAAATTTTGCATAGGGTTTTCTTTTGTCTGCAGGCAGGTCAAGTTCGAAGATGGGATATATCGGCCCACGTTTAGGCATAGCTCCCATATAAGGGTACCCCCCAATTTTCGGTATTTTGGGGTTCTTGAGCGCGTTTTTCAAGCGAATTTGTAGTAAATGTATCCACAAAAAATTATAAATATAGGTCCACTGGAACAAGTTGAGTTTAGGGGCTCATCTCCGATTTTCCCACGTTTAGGCATAGCTCCCATATAAGGGTACCCCCCAATTTTCGGTATTTTGGGGTTCTTGAGCGCGTTTTTCAAGCGAATTTGTAGTAAATGTATCCACAAAAAATTATAAATATAGGTCCACTGGAACAAGTTGAGTTTAGGGGCTCATCTCCGATTTTTCTGAAATTTTTGTCATAGGTAGATCTCGTCTCCCTGATCACGAAAATATATGACTTTCATGGGGGAAGTCCATAATTCCCGAGATATGGACCTCTAAAGTTCCGAAATTCCTATGCTCATAACTTCGTTATTTATGAATCGGTGAAGGTAATATTGGTATGATTGTAAAGCGTACACATTATATTTCCACTTAAATTCGTCTTAATTAAAAATTATCCAAAATAGCCGGCCTTCGGCCGGGGATTTAAGACTTTCTCCTAGGGACAGGCGGAAAATTCGGCTAACGCATCAACAATGTTTTTTTAAACTATTTTTTCTAAATAGCGGGCCTTCGGCCGGGGATTTAAGACTTTCTGCTATGGACAGGTGGAAAAATTGGCTACGCGATTAAAATTTCCTTTATATCAAAGTTTTTCTTATATAGCCGGCCTTCGGCCGGGGATTTAAGACTTTCTCCTATGGACAGGCGGAAAATTCGGCTAACGCATCAACAATGTTTTTAAACTAATTTTTTTCTAAATAGCCGGCCTTCGGCGGGGATTTAAGACTTTCTGCTATGGACAGGTGGAAAAATTGGCTACGCGATTAAAATTTCCTTTATATCAACGTTTTTCTTATATAGCCGGCCTTCGGCCGGGGATTTAAGACTTTCTCCTATGGACAGGCGGAAAATTCGGCTAACGCATCAACAATGTTTTTAAACTAATTTTTTTTCTAAATAGCCGGCTGAGGTGGGATAGAGACTAAATGGAAACCGTGTTGTTTACGAATGAGGTTTAGGCAAATTATGATTAGGGATAAGTAAATCGACTTTCGACTAATCGACTTGTTGTATTGAAAAGTTAAGAAATCGACTTTTGATTTTTGATGAAATCGCATTCTTGCTTTCGCCTTATTCTGAATGAAGTTCGAAAGTGAAAAAATCCGCTTTAAGGGAAAAATTTGCTATTTTGGGTTTCAGGGTTTTTGTGTGAAAATTTTGGCTAATAAATTTGAATGGTGCTGCCGACAAAAATATAAGTATTTAATATTTTTTATGAAAAATATCTACACAATACATTGTTGTATGCATATTTTTAATTCAAAAACATTGGATATCCTATCCTATAACGATGCATGCTCAACCAAATATGCCCAGTGAATGTATAAAGGGAATAAGGAATATTTAAGCCGAGTTTGATGCAATTTGGAAACCCCAAATAGTCAAATTTGCCTGATGAGGCACTTAGCGTGGTTTTATATTTGCCGGGATCGGGATCGGTGTTGAGAGTCTCTCTCTCTCAGTGGTAAATTGTGAATTGTGTTGGAAAACATTGCCACAGGTAGGAACAAAAAAGTACGAAAAGGTACCTAAAATTCTACTTCAAATGATAATAAATCATAATTATCGAGAAATATTGGCCAATATTTATTTATACCAGTTGTTTGCATAAATAATATATGTTATAATTTAAGCGTAAATGTATCCACGAATAATAAAAAATATAATTTTTGTTTTGGTACGTTTATGTCAATTCGTACCTTTTGTGAACAAAAAGTACGCTTGTTACAAAATTAAAAATAGCGCAACTCTAATTACTCTCTCAAGAGAGAGAAACTCTCAACACCGATCCCGACAAATATAAAACCACGCTTAACAGTGAAAAACTCAAATAAAAATTATGAAAGAGCAATGATAAAGCTACAAAAATTTTTTTTTTTCTTTCAAATTTATGGTGTGCAAGATTTAAGGGACGAAATAAAGGAGGAGGAGCATACCACAAAATAATTGCTCACTTTAAGAATTTGGGTAGATAAAATATCTGAATTAAATAAAAAGGCAACAATTATGTAAGGAATTAATGAACTGCGAATTAGGCTACGTTTAGACTACTAAATCCACTCGATCTCAAATGTCAATTCCATTGCGTATACGTCACGTTAATCCTGTTCACAAATCCAGTGGGTTATATTTGCCGTATAAGCAATGGAATTGATATTTGAGATCGAGTAGATTTCGTAAATCTAAACGTGCCTTTAATTTTATTCAAGGGCAGATTTCTTCCCATAATTTGTTGTTTCTTTGAAATCGTACTATGCGGTATTTGCCATCATAAAAAATGTTCTGTTGTAGTTGTTGCCCCAAACTGCATCAAAATAATGTGCTAAAACATACATATATATTTTTTGCTGTTCTATAAACATACTTTAGAAATTAATTGCCGAAACAAATAATAATAAATACAACAATCTAGCATTCCTACACATTTATAAGTTTTCTTGTATTTTGTTAAAACTGCTTATACAGCATTAATATATAACTTATTTTGATTCTTTTATTGTTGCATATCACTTTTTTTTATAAGTTCATTGGCCATTTGTTCATTCACTTTTGCAATGTTTTTAAATTTCTTAATACATTTACATATTTTGGTTACATAGCATTTAAAGTCTGCTGGTGACCGACCTACATTACTATTAATTTGTATCAGCATTTATCAATAACATTTTCTAATTAATTATGTTAAGCGAATTATGTATATAAAGAAAGCCAAAAATAAAGAAAATTCAGTCGTCTTTTCCACAGGCATATTGTTATTTTGAAATTTTTTTGTTTTCTGTTTTGAAATTTTCGCTTGCAAATACAAAAAAGCAAATACAAAAGAAAGAAATAAACGTCAAAAGTGTTTACATTTTAAAGAATTTTTTAATATTTTATTTAGTTTTTATATATTTTATTATATAAATTGCAAAAATTAAATTTCACTTGCACAAATTAAAGCAACAGGTTTGTAACACGAATAGGTTAAAAAGGAAATGTCAACAAAAATGTTTTGAACGAACAGAGCAAAGCAGAATTTGCGTGTACCGCAAATTCTGAACAGGCAAAGTTTTGTTTTTCTTCCTCGCACCCCTCTCGCCTAAAAACTCAGAACTTGCCAAATAAAAATTTGCCCGTGGAAAAGGGGGCATACGCTCACTGACTGATGATAGGTGTTCTTAGATCGAATGTTGACTTTGCCAATGTTAAACGAATGCCTGAGTAGGGCATATAAAAGTAACGGCGTCAACATAGAATGTAGTCGACTACTAAAAACAAACTAAATTACCGTTTTATTTGATTTATATTTTATACATTTTCTTTAATGTTTACATGTGTTAAAAGAAATTATATCTAAAGTAAACAAGAAAGTATTTCACGTTTGTTCGTTGTTTGTTTGATTTATGTTGTCGTTTAGTTTTTTTTCAATATTGCTAAGAGAAAATGGCATAAGCTGACAGTTTTTATTGAAAAAAAAAATTTTTTAATGAAAAAATCTATAAAGGAAAAAAGGTTTAATTTTAATTTTTCGTAACATGGAAATAATTTCTCTGGACTGGAATTGAACTGGAATTTAAACATTATTCGGGTAAGTCCACATTTCTCGCTTTAAAGTTGTGGATCTGGAAGCTCCTGTGTTCATTGGCATAAATTTAATTGAATGCTATAGGTCTTAGAAATATAAGTTGGAAAGTCCATGGTTACAGAAATACAGTCCCCGGAATATTACTATGCAAATATTTGTTTTGTTCCCATACATTTTTAATAGAAAAGTTGGCAAAAAGAAAACAAGTCCAAGTCGCTCTTAGAGTACAAAAATACGAAAAGTTCTTCAACAAAAAAAAAAAAGCAGTAAGAAAGTCAAAATCAACTTAACAGCCAATTAGT